AGCCTGGTTTCTGCTCTTGCCAGTGGGCTAAGGTTTGCTCAGCCCTGCCCAGTCCACCCTCTTTCAAAACCAAACCACACACTTGCCAACGGATGGGGCTACCTTGCCCAGCTTGCCTGAACCCTTGGTCTGGACCATATGCTCACCAGTGGGAGCTGTGACCCACTAGGAGAGTTTCCCAGGTTTCCCCACTTGGCCCACTCCCAGACCCAGATCTCACATGCTCCAGCAGGTGCTAGGCCCTTGCCCGGCATAGCCTGCCTCTCCTTATTGCTCTTTGTATGAGCTGGTGGATGTTGCAGTCCAGCTTGCCCCATACCCTGTTTTAGAATGCACATGCAAGTGCTGCAAGTTGGACCTGCCCAGCCTATTCTCAGCCCCAGTACCTGTGAGTATTGGTGAGTTCCATGGTCACACCTAGTTCAGCCCATCACCACCCCAACTCTTGAGCCAAGCAGCAGGACTTGTATTTCCACAGGGTTGGGCCCACTTATCCTCCACAGAATTTACCCCCAGGCCTGGTTCTCTCACGTGCTGGTTAGTTTCCTGACTCTGCCTAATGAGACCGGTTCCCTGTTCTGACACTCAGTCAGGTAATGGGATCGAGCCCTGCTAGACAGGCCCTTAGCCTAGCTTTCGTGTGGACTGGTGTGTGGTGGTCATCAGTGTTCCATGCTGACAAGCCCATGTCAGGACTCCCATGTGGGCTAGTGAATCAGTGTGGACCCATAAGGATCTTCCAGTCTCTTCTCCAAACCACCAGATCTCAGTCCCCTTGCTTATTTGCAAGTACAGTGACTTTGTCGTTTGGTGTCCCTCAGATTTCCTTCGTCACCTGCATGCACAGTGGCCTTATCTATGGATGTCCGCAGGCAGTAGTATTTGATGCCCCCCAGACCTCAGAGCTCGCCACTGGGCAGCCTGCAGGCAGAGCCCAGCACCACTTGGTGTTCAGGCAGCCCACAAGCCCAGCACCCTCCCCCCACCAGCAGCCATAGATGGGGGACTAGGTTCCCCCACAGGCAGCCTGGCGCTGCACAGGTTCTCCCAGTCACAGCCACGTGACTGGGAGAATAAGATGCCCGCTCTGCTGCTCAGACTAACCTGGGTTCTGCCCACCAAGGTGGCAGCGGTGGGGGAAGCCATGGTCCTGAGCATCCTCAGAGGCGTCCGAGATATGTCCCCAGCATGATTGTTGTGGACAAAGGAAATTCTCGAAATTTGGGCTTGGACATGCCCAGGACTCTGCCCCCACCCAGCAGCGGAAGATGGGGAGCTAGGTTCCCCAGCAGGCAGCCTGGCACGGCACAGGTTCTCCCAGCCACAGTCATGTGCCCGGGAGAGTAAGGTACCTGCTCTGCTGCTCAGACTTACGTTGAATATTAGATTTATTATGATACTATCAGGACATACCATTCTAATAATTATAGTACTCACAACAGATTCTCAAATACACTATCACCAAATAATAATAATGATGAAGAAAAGTAATAATGATGAAGAAAGGAATTAGTTCTTAAGCTGCCTCTTGAGATACCCACATCCCACAGCAGAATGCCTAGAATTTAGTCTGTTCCATTCCTCATTCCAGCATCCTACTAATACATACCCTGCGAAGCAACAGGTAAGGGTGCAAATACTGGATTTTCTAACACCCATATAGAAGATCTAGTTGGAGTTCATGTCTCCTACCTTCTGCCTGGTCCAGCTTGTGTGTGTATGTGTGTGTCTCAAAATTTTTAAATATCATAGAAGATCTTATCATTCCTTCCTATGTTTATGTATGCATATTGAGCATCTATCTGGACAGTCACAAATACTTATTGACATTCAGTTGTCTTATGTGTGAAATTAGCAGAGCAAGATATTTGGATTTCTACATTTATAAACTGTAAAATACATGATAAATACATTACTTTTACTAATAATTACAATTTTTGTGTTTAATATATAATGGTTCACTTGATCAAAAGTTGGACTTTCTATCAGAATACCTTTGAGAAAATGAAAAAGACTTCTGGGTGGGTATTAAAAATATGCTTACTCACTCTCTAAATGTTAAGGTGATAATTAAAAACACAATCCGCTGTCTCTCTAAGAAATATCTGTATATCCATGTGAATAATAGCATTATCATGGTAGTCAAAATATAGAAGCAACCCAAATGTGTGTTGGCAAATGAGTAGATAAACAAATTGTGTTTTAATATGCAACAGATTTTATTTAGCCTTTAAAAAGAGCAAAATTCTGACACATGGTTAATCATTATGGTAAGTGAAATGAGCCACTGATGGTACTTACCTAAGGTGTCTAGCAAAGTGATACATAAAAACAGAAAATAAGCTGGTACCAGCAGGGACTTAAAAGCAAGAAATGGGCATGTTATGTCACTGAACTTTATACACTTAAAAAGGTCAATTTTGTGTTGTAGTTAGCAACAATAAAAAAAATTGGAAAACACTTGCCATCTTTACATGTCCAGTTCAGTGGTATGTTAATGTCACTCCATCGTCACTGCAGTTCATTTCTCTTCGTTTAGACCACAGCTTCTCTGTGGTTTTGATTACTGTGTCTCATGTCAGTCGAACTATACAGAATTCATCCTTTGTGATCAGCTTGTGCTTTTTTTTTTTCTTTAGCAAAATATCCTCTAAATTTATCCCGTTGTAGGCTATTGCACAGAATTTCCTGCTGGCTCACATTTTGCTTGTTTTATCTGTTGACGGACACTCAGATTGCCCCCCATATTTTAGCTGTTGCAAATAATACTGTAATGAAAGAGAACCTACCAATGTATCTTCAAGACTCTGTTCCCAGTTCTTTTGGATACGTACCTAGAAATAAAGTGGTAAATTTTGTATATTTTTTAATAACCTGTCTTGTAAAGCAAAATGCATTAAGAAGAAGTCAATATGAGCATTTTGACAGGGAAGACCATGCCATTTCAAGGCAGTGAGATGAAATAATTGAAATAAGCTTCACCGTTACTACCCTCTCTTATATTCTCACTTGAACAAACTTACACAAAGCACAAGTCTGCCATAGAAAATACACATGGAGCTTAAAGTTGAAGCATAGGTTGAGAAAGGACATTTTCTCTGACAATTCCATCTCCTACATCCTAGTTTTGTTTGTTGTTCATTTTGTTTTTAAGTTAAAGAAGCTCAGATTCTCCAAGTCACCACATGAAGTGGGCATCCATCACTTCAAATGCATTCCATATTCATAACAGTTAACAACACAGTAGTTTTAAGCTGTGTTAGTACTATTACAAATACATTCTCCATGTGCCAGGTCACTCTTTTGACTATTATGTCTCAATTTAGAGGGACCCAGAGAGACTGGAATGTCTCCATAGGTGAGTAAACAGGCTGCAGATAGATCTGCCAAACTTGGCCTTTGAATAACACACTTCCAGGACAGAGCTGTTATCCACTTCTGCAGCTATTTAAGGGGCAAGTATATGAAAGAGGAACTTATTCAGAACATTGGTGAAAGCTATGGAAGGACAAGATTCAAGTTCACACACTAGGAAGTGCTGCTTATAACGTGGAGTGGCCCAACAGACTGCTCTGTTGGGAGACGGATCTCCATAGGAACGTTTTAAGAAGGTAGAAGCTTACTTTCTAGAATTATATGGGAAATGCCTTCCTTGTTGGTGGTCTCCGGAACATTTATTTGGTTCCCTAGAACTTAAAACCACTGATCAAGACCACAATAGCCAGATGAAAAATCTAGTTATCCTGAATATTTAGTTACCACTTTAATCATTTAGTGTAAAATAAAGTGAGGAGCCACATTGAAAGATTCCGAGCAGAACAATGACATGGTTTGACTTGAATTTAGCAAGATCACTGTGTTTGCACTGTGAGAATGAAAATGAAAAGTTGGACTCTGAAAGCCGGGAGACTATTTTGGAAACTGCTTCTATGGCCTAGGTAGGTTGGAAATTAGTAGAAACAAAAAACCAAGACAGTAGCAGTGATGGATAGAAGTAATGGATTCGAAAAACAGAATTTAAAAAACCCTGGCCGATGATCAGTTTGGTATGATGGGAAGGAAGGAATCTGAGGTGATTCTTGACTTTATTACTTTGGGGGTTGAGCACATACTGTTAAATTTGACAGGAATAGAATATGTGAGAGGAGGTACAGTTTTTAAGGGAAAGGTCTTGTATTTAGATTTGAAACTGGAAAATTAGCTGGTAATGCAAACTCCCCTCAGATTAAGCAATTCATTAGCAAGCACTTGCAAAGTTGGGTGTAGAATTCAGGAGCAATATCTGAGCTGAGGAAATGGCCTTGGAAGCCATGGGTATAAACATGACAGGTGAAGGCATGGAGGTCCAGGGTGATCATCAGCCATGGAGACCAAGGAAGCAGTCAGATGAATATTAGAAAAAGCAGGCCTGGCACAGAAGCCTAGTGGCAAAATATTCGCCTTTCCCCCAGGAGATCCCATATGGGAACCAGTTTATATCCCAGCTGTCCCACTTCCCATCCAACTCCCTGCTTGTGGCCTGGGAAAGCAGTAGAGGACAGCCTAGAGTGTATACATGTATATGAGCCTGGGCACGTCCTTATAATTTCTTACAGTCCATAATGTATAATTACAATAACAATGTACCCTTAAACAGAACACCAAAATCCCTGTGTTTTTAAAGTTTACTTCCTTTGACAGATTTCCAATACTACTAAAAGGATTTTTCATAAAATCCTGGTGAAGATTCTAAAATTCTAAAATATGTCTGCACTTAAAAGAATATTCTGGATCTTTTCCTAGTCGTTAGTTTAAATTTTATTTGGTTGAATATTTTTGGCCTTTTCCCCTTCTTATTTTATTTGACTTTGTTCTTGATGGAGTTGACTGTGTTGGCCTTGGGTCTGATGAGTGTAGATTTATTATATGGCTCAATAAAATAAAGAAGTCATACTTCAATAAAAATCATGCTAATTTACTTACACAAGCTTAAATTCTCCGTATGTTCTTTGTTACCCAAGGAAATGCAACTTCACCACAAGCACAAAGACCGTCATTCATGGACTACTTTGATAAGCAGGACTTCAAGAACAAGAGTCATGAAAACTGTAATCAGAACATGCATGAGCCTTTCCCCATGTCCAAAAACGTTTTTCCTGATAACTGGAAAGTCCCTCAAGACGGAGACTTTGACTTCGTGAGTATACTTCCGTTCTCTCATCGATGTTTTTTCCTTCTGTCGTTTTTATCACACCAAGAAGTATACTTTATATATATACTTATATGAACTGTGATTGTATGTAAAAGAAGACTATTAATATTCAGTTTGTAGCCATATATGTGGGTAGGGTGAGGTGAAATTGCAGTTTGTGTGTAGAAATGCATTTGTAGGTAAAAATATGCACTTGCAGAAAAATGTAAATAATGGCTTATAGTTAAATAGATGAGTTCAAATGGAGAGAAATGTTTAGGATTCCTTGAAACCAAAGTGACAAGTATTTCAAGAGATGTTTTCAACAATGCAATTATGAGATACATTGACAGTTATCAATACAATTAAAACAGTGTTATGACACAGACATTCAAAATTTGCCCTAATTTTGAAGGTTACCAGAATTCGTTTCTACTTTAAGTTCTGCTTGGTTTGTCAGAAATAATAGTCCTACTGTATTTCTACATAGCATGTGAACTTACGTAAAATCATTCCTTATCTCCTGTCGTATTTTCTTTTTATTGTTTTTTGCTGCCCCTTGATACTTATTTCTTTTGGAAAATACAATTCAGATAAAGTATTTTTAGACAGCTATTTCTACAGCATGAAAGAAATACATTCTCAGAATGAGTTCCTAAAATGAAGTAAAAAATGTTAGAGCAGACTTTTGCTTTACCATGTTTTAAATATATTACTTTTGCATGTTGTTTTATAAGATCTTTTCAAATAAAATAACTACAGTTAGTTATGTTAATTAAGAAATGTACTTATTATGTAAGTAAAATTCAGATCCACAAGGCCTTCAAAAAGTTAATGGAAAATGCATATTTTGAAAACTGCACATAGTTCTCAAAGCCATTTTGTACCCCTAATAATTTATCTTTTAATTCCATTTTCCACAGATTTTTTGAAGTACCTTTGTATGTGTCTGCTTAAAGACTTTGGAAGTAATATGAAGTCATTTTGCTTACATACATTTTGCTTTAAATGCTTTGAGACTATAAATACTTTAAATTTTAAATACCTAGTTTCAAAATCTGTGCTACACAACTCTAATACTAATTGTTAGAAACTGCTAGCAACATAATTTCACAGATTAGCATGAAAATGTTATTTGTAATAACTACCTGCTATTTTTTCATATGCTCAAGTAAAAAAAAGGCAAATGAAATCTGTGTTTCTCCAATTCTAATAAGATTTCATTTTAAGCTATTTATGCTTTAGAAATTTATAAATTATTTAGATTACTGACATTTAAGCTTTAAATCATTCATGAACACAATGAATAATGTAGACTGTTTAGCGTCAGAGAACTTTGCTTTGTCTCAGTCGGAATAAGTCTTATTAGCCTCTGGGAAACAGTCTGAAATGAGCAAGCACAAGTAATGAATAAATTATCATAGTTAAGAAATAACAAATAAAATGATTTAATTCTGTTTCAGCTAGTCTTTGCAGCCACCCCAAACCTTAAGGATGAATGATAACAACTGTTCTGCCAGTCTCACCATTTCATGAATTTGCAGTCTGGACATGCTCAGTTCCGATAATAAAAGGTTCTTCTGCCAGTCTCACCTGAGGTTTCTCAAGTGACTGCAGTTGTCTGTAAACTTGACTGGGACTGAGTAATCTCTAAATTACCCCTCTCCTGTATCTAAGCAGTTGTACTGACTATTGGCTAGGTCATATTACTCCATTAGGCAAACTTGGGGTTTTTATGTGGCAGTAGCAGCCTTTGAAGAGGGTAAAGATGAAGCCTGCCAAGACCATTTGATCTTAGCTTAGAATACACACATTGCCCATTTACAGCAGTATCAGAAAGAATGAAATTCCTAAGGATAGTCTTAACCAAGGAGCTCTCTAAACTATACAATGTTGAATTAAAGAAGATATCAATACATCCAATGGCATCTTGTATTTATGGGTGGGAGGACTTAATGTTGTTAAGATAAAGCCCAAAGTGGTCTACAGAATCCTAATAACCTTTTGTGTGGAAATAGAAAAATTATCGCTAAAATTCACACGGGATCTCAGGGAATCCCAAATAGTTCAACCATCTTGAAAAGGAAAAAGAATGATGATGATGGAAGTTTCTTCTTTCTTGATGTTATACTACAAAGTCACTGCTGTCAAAACAGTTTAGTACTGGCATAAAGATATATTTATTGACCAGTGAAACAGAACAGATAGCCCAAAAATAAACCCTCCTATATATGATTAAATGATTTTGACAAGGTTGCTGACACCTTTATGGAGAGATTAAAGAACAATCTTTAAAAAACAATGATGCTGGGAAAACTACATACCAGAATGCAGAAAAATGAAGTCAAATCTTTACCTTATGTCACTTATAAAAATTAACTCAAAATAGATAAAAGATCTAAATATTGAAGCTAGAATTCTTAGTAAAAACGTGGGAGAGAAGCTACATACATTGGCATTGGATTTGGCAATGATTTCTTGGATGTGGTGGCACCAAAAGTACAGATAACACAACAAAATAGGTACATTAGACTATATAAAAATGAAAAGCCTTTGGGCACCTAGAGGTTACAATACCTGGTTCCTGTGTCAGAGTGCCTGGGTTTGAGATCTAGTTCCACTTCTGAATCCAGCTTCTTGTTAGTTGAGACCCTGGGAAGCAGTGGCCATGGCTCACTTTTTTTTGCCACACATATAGGGAACCTGGGTTGAGTTCTTGACTTTGGCCCCAAGTCAGGGCTATTAGAGACATGTTGGGAGAAAACCAGTAAGTGGTGCTCTTTCAAAAAAAAAAAAAAAAAAGATGAGCTTTTCTTAAAACGTTAAAAGCTTTTTGCTTTAAAGAACACCACCAGCAAAGTGAATGACAATGTATGGAATGAAACAACATATTTGTAAATCTTACATCTAGTAAGAGGTTAATATCCAGAGTATATAGTGAAGTAAAAATCAATAACAACGAAGAAAACAATCCATTTCAAGAATGGTTGAAGGACTTGAACTAATATTACTCCAAAGAAAATGAACAAATGACTAATAATCCCATGAAAAGATGTCCACTATCACTAATCTTGAGAAATGCCAATCAGAATCACAATGAGAAGCTACTGATGTTAGCATCACTGCTGCCAAAAAAACAAAGCGGCACATTAAAGCAAGGGGGAAAAATTAATCAAAATAAATCAGAAAGCCAGTGTGGATTCCAGGAATGTGGAATTTAAATGTTACCTGCTAAAGAGTAAAACAGCAAAGTTATGTGGAAAAGAGCCCTGTGGAAAGAGACTTATGGCATAATGTTTTCACATAGTATGCCAGAAACTCTGATAATTAAGATTTAACAGAAATTAGATCATTGAACTTAAGAAACTAAAGATTACTTATGATTTTGGTAACGGCCTTTGAGTTTACTTTTAAAATGTGTACATACACACTTTTTGACACATAGCCTTCCATTGTCCCTGTGAGGCTTATTCAAGCTTGTGAATCTATTTTCAGGTGGCTAGCTAATACAAGATAACTTTTTCAGTTCATATATTTTAGAGTTCCCTTTTCAGGGGGAATCTCAAGATTTATTAGGAAACATTAAACTAATTTAAGCAATGTTCTACTTTTTTGCTTTGGGCTCTGCCAGACACCATGGTTAAAAATCGTATTTATACTGATTTATTAAGTTAAGAAGACACAATAAATTAATGGTCGGTTTAGTTGTAATCCTTAGCAATAATTCAAGCGTCGTCATGTGGCTTTGGATAAGAGGGAGACTTAGTGAAGGCTTATGTAGTTTATAAAATTATAATGTGGAGGGAGACTTTGTCTAATCATTGAAAGATGGATAGCGGAATAGGCACTCCAAAAATAATGTGAATAATAAAAGCTCACAGGCAGGAAAGCACGAGCTCTATTGGGTGTCAATGAAGTAGCGACTTCCAGGTCTCTGTGGTAGTTTGTTTGGAACAATGTAGGAGATAAATTGGGAAGGTGGGTCTAGGTCAGGTGATGGAAGCCTTACCAGACTGCCAAGTCTGAATTTGTACTTCATAAGCAGTGGGAAGCCACTGAGAAATTTTTAAGTTGAAAAATGACATGGTGAAACATTTTCAGAAAATCTAGAGGCCAGAGAAATCAGTTTTGTGGCATGGGCTTGAAATATTAGAGTAATAAAATGGAAAAGAAGAAAACAAGACAGAAACAGGAATAGATGTAGAAGATATTCTAAAAGATTATGCAATAGAAATAACTGACTTGCTACATTGAAGAGTACTGTTTTGGTTATAGTAATGAACTTTAAATGATAAAAGATGAAAGCAATGAAATACAGATGTTGTCGTAGTAGGAAAGAGACTTTAAGAGATCATATGATGGGATCCAGTTTTTTGCAGGCAGCTTTCTTTTCTGACAGCCACAGGACAGATAGCCCTAAAAAAGTAGTGGGGCTGCCATCCTGGACAGTGATAACTCCTATCAGTGGGAGGCCTTGGACTCTGTCACCTGGAAGAAGTGGGGAATGTTTGTAGACTCCAGAGGATATTGTAAACAGGAGTAAGAAAGAGATGGGATTGCCAGGAAATGAGGCAAGAATTGCTGAGTGTAAGAGCATGGCGAAGGACAAGAAAAATGTGTACAAGGAGTAAGAAGTCCATAAGAGCCCAGTCTGGGTTGGAGCACAGCTGGTGTTACTTGGTAGGATACTTTGCTTGAATGGTATGGTCTACTGAAACCCAGAAGTGTTCCACTGGAGCTGTTGGCTGTTAATGAAGAGGACGATCTGATCTTATTTCTACCCGCCGACCGACCCCATTTTTTAAAAACTTTTTAAAAAGTTGTTTGAAATGCAGAGTGACAGGAAAAGAACCACCTGCTGGTTCACTTCTTCAGTGGTTGCCACAGCTGGGGCTGAACCAGGCTGAAATCAAGAACCTGTGTGAGTGGGAGGGTTCCAAGTGCTTGGGCCATTGGCGTCTGCTTTCCCAGCACATTTGGCAGGAGAGTAGTACGGAAGTAGAGTG